CGGCACACTTTGTCTAAAGAATCTGAAACCTTACCCAAATCTATAGAAAGTGTCTGTGTAGTGATTTGGAACAAGCTGTAATTGGACTGTAAGATCTTCTGAGCTGTTAGATTTGCCTCTCTCCCTATTTGTTTTCATTGTTTATTTATGGAGGATGGAGGCTCATTAGTCATTCAGTGTGACAGTGTAAATGTGTACACAAGAAGTTTGCTCTTTGCCAAGAAGTAAAGCACAGTTAAAGCTGGCCCACTGCCAAGCTTAAAATTGGCTTTACCCTACCTAGAGTTAAAATGGCTCAAAAACATGTTTATTATTATTTTTTAGAAACCTAGCCAGGACAGTGCCTGACAGGAATTGTTATAATTTTTGGCAGATTGGTCTTACATCTTTAAATCCCTAGCAGAGTCTTTAAAGCATACAGAAATTAAATGTTTTACTTTATTGGCAAAAGGCTAGTCTAAGTATAATATTGGTATTTAGGTGTGGCTATTAAGCTTGATACTCTCCCACATCTAAAAGGAGGACAACAGGAAGCCGTAAGGACTGGGCATGAAACTCTCCGAATTGAATCATAAGTGCAGAAGATTAGCAACTGTGTTATAATATCTGGTTCTTAGACTGAAAGCCAAAGCTTGTGCATATAAAAACCTAAAGAATTAACTGTAGTCAACTGTGACTCCAAAGCAACATTTGATAAGATACATCAAGGCTGAAATTCTGTTGCTTGTGTCACTAGCAGTAGTCAGCTGTTTAAATCAGCTCACTCTTGGAATATAAGTCCGTTTTGGATGAGTCTATGTCTGGAGCCAGTCTAGGCAAGATGACACTGATCTCTGTGCCTTGGTGTTCATGTTTCTTGTTGTCCTCATTATGACCACATACATAAAACCTGTTTAGTCAAACCTGGACAGAGGCACTTTTATCCTGCCCAGGTTCCAGCACCACAATGACAGCATTGTAACTCGTGCACTGTGTCCCAATCTGTTCCTTATGAAGCATGAACTGGTTTTTAGGTAAAGCCCAGCATCCAAATTGAACCAAGAGGTTGTTGGTTATGTTCCAGAGCTAGGTACTAATAGACCCTTTCCTCTTGAGATGAGAGAGGTATGTGTAAGTTACACAAGCACTGCAGCACTGCACACAATTTTAGAAATGGACAAAATCTCAGCTCAGTATGGATTTGGGCGTTGTTGCTAAGCCTCAGTTTGTTAATTGTGATTTAATTATTGGCATCCATGTGAAATGTCATGGCTGAAATTAACAGTCTAACGGTGTAACTTGGTTTAAACAAGGATTAATAATACATTTTATGCATAGGTAGCTTTTCATGGTACTCAAAGCAACACACAACAGTCAATAATACATGAAAAGGGGCAGCAATGAAAAAGGCTCTATCACCTCAGGTCGGATGCTTGGTCCTGAGTGCCAGAGACAAGAGGTTTACGGAGGGAGTGCCGTGGTGGAGCCGGTAAGTGAGGTAGGAGGGGGCCTGGTTGTGGAGGGCTTTGTGAGTGAGGTGAAGGATTTTGAATTGGCTTCGTTGTGGAACAGGGAGCCAATGGATGTTCTGGAGTACAGGGATGTTTTGGCTTGGGAGCGAATAAAAGTTATTGGAGTAGTTAATTCTGGATCTGATGAACACGTGAATGAGCGTTTCGGCAGCATAGAAGGACGGTGATGGACGGAGGCAAGCAATGTTTTTCAGGTGAAAAAAAGGCCGTTCTGTTGTTGTGATGTTCAAAGGAGAGCTTGCTGTCGAAAATGACTCCCAAGGTTGCGGATATGGGGGGAGGGAGACAGAGTGGCATTGGTAATGGTGAGGCAGAAGTTGGGAGTGTTTTTGGTGAGTGATTTGGGACAGATGATGATCAAGTCTGATTTCTCACAATTGAGAAAGTTGGCATCCAGGATTTTATTTCAGTGAGTCAGTGTGTTCATCCGGTGGTTCATCCCCCCCCCCCCCTTTGTGACCTGATGTGA